CGGTTGAAGCCGCTGCTCGAACGCTTTCACGTCAGCGCGTATTTTGCTGGCCACGATCATACGCTACAGGTTGGAAATGTTCCGAAAGGGTCTCTGCTAGATTTTCTCTTTCTCTCTCTCTCTCTTTCACTCTCTCTCTCCTCGGTTTCTCTCGCTTTCTCGCTCGCTCTCTCTCGCTGTCTTTCGCGCGCTCTCTCTCTATTTCTCTCTCTATCATTCTCTCTCTCTCTCTCTCTCTCTCTCTCTCTCTCTCTCTCTCTCTGTTTCTTTTCTTAACCACCCCAATTGCCCAAAATCATCTCTGCCCTTCTGCCCGTATTCCCCAATTTTCTCCTCTAGCCTGCCGCGCTATTTCCCAAACGATCCCTGCTAGTCCGCCACCTTCCAGCCCTCTTTCAGCACATTCAAACCGACCTCCCCCGACGGCGCCTCGATCAACTACATCATCTCCGGGGCCGCCTCGAGAACCGATCGCTCCAATAAACACAAAGACTACATACCTGCCGGGTCCCTCAAGTTCAAGTTGGTTTTCTAGGAGCGGTGAACTGCTTGAAAATGATGGCACGCTCCATTGGACCGCTCGTTCCGTTTAGCTATCCGACCGGCTGGAATCCGATTTCGCAGCTGGGGTTCAGCAGGGGCGCCTTCATCTACACCGAGGTGGGGCTTGGAGTTGTTCCTCAGTGATTTTTGCTAGCCTGCCCTAAGTTCCGAAAAAATCTCTGCTAGCCTGCCCCTTCCTAAAAAATCTCTGCTAGCCTCCCGATTTCCAGATCAATGCCCAACGGGCGCACTTCGAGTTCAAGAAGGGCGACGGCGAGACGAAATACGTGCACGATATCCCGCCGCGCAGCGCCAAGACGAAGACCGTTACCGTACCGCGGCAGGAGGTGCCGTCGAAAATGATCGAATTGTAGGAATGTCATGTTTCTCTCCCTCGCCTTCTCTCTCTCTCTCTCTCTCTTGCTCTCTCTCTCTCTCTCTCTCTCTCTCTCTCTCTCTTAATCCCTTAAACACCATTTTGTTGATTTTGTGCATTTTTCGTGACCCGCAAATGATCTCTGCTAGAAGTGCTCCATTTCAGCTACTTGATAATTTAAAAATGTCTGTAAATATGGGTGATGGATCGATAAACTATCGCAAAGAATCTCCGCAAGCCTGCCGCTTCCTAAAGAATCTCGGCTAGCTTGCCCTGGTTTCCGAATTGTCTCTGAAAACCCGGACACAAAAAAGCAATCTATTCTTCGAAAAGCACCGAGAAAAACACACAAAATACAGTAGGCATGTGATATATACATGTAGCAATACCCGTAAGGCAGAAATGGGCAAGAAAATATTTTGAAATAGGGGTCAATTAGCGTTCCTGGGGTGTGGGGAGGATCGGGGCGAGAGATTAAGAGAGAGAGAGAGAGAGAGAGAGAGAGAGAGAGAGGGGGAGAGGCAGAGGCAGAGCGAGATAGAGAGAGAGAGCGAGAGAGACAGAGAGAGACATTGAATGAGAGAAGCAGAAAAGAAACTGAGCAATTTTGTACGAATCAAGCCATTAAAAACACCAATAACATCGAAAAAATCCTCCAATTAAACGCCAGCGCTCTCGCGCTGCCATAGCGCCATCCGTTTCCGGCGGGCCGTCCGTCGGAGGTTGAACCGCCTGGCGACGGCCATGAAGTCTTCCGCCACGTTCAGCGCGTTCACCACGGTGTCGTCTGGAAAATCGTCAATTTTAAAGGGGTGGTGACAGGGCGCAGCATTCGATTACGCCAGGTAAATGGACATAGCTACCAGGCGCGTAATTTGCATCTGATTACCACGCGTAACTGATTGTGAACTGGAATCGATTACGCCCGTTAATTCGGCTTTAAAGGGACGGTGACAGGGGCCAGCAATTGATTACGCCATTGAAATGCGGTTAGGTCAGGTAATTTAAATCGTGATTTCCTTTACACGGCGTAATTGATTGCGGGATATCTAGCCGAATACGATATGAAAAGTTGGACTTGACCTGATTTAGGGTTCGTAATCAGTTATCCCCTTGAAAATCGATTACGCGGTGTAATTACTAACGTGCATTACGTAGCGTAATCGGTTCCGATAGACTGGCTCTCGAGTCCAAAAGTGAAACCGCTATTCAAAAGCGTCTGGCAACAAAGAAAAGGTCATTACAGCCAGGGACGTAGCGTAATACAGGCCCCGGGGGCCCGGCCCCCCCCCCCCCCCCCCCCGAAATCGGCCGGGGCCCGAAAATTTCATAAGGGGGGACCCTTATGATTTTGATTTTCTCAAAAATTTTGCTGCCTGCGGCGCTATTTTTTCACGTTTTTACGGCTATTTGTAGAGCTAGGCAACCTTTTTTTCAAAAATTTTTGCCTGCGGCGCTGTTTTTTTGGCAATGTTTTGAGTTTTTTGAAAAAATTGTTTTGGGCCCCCCCCCCCGAAATTTTTTTTTTCTGGCTACGCCCCTGATTACAGCTATATTAACGGCTATCCGGTTACGACATGAAATTCTAGCCTTCACGGTCCCTTTAAAATACCGAAGCCTACAAACTACAATCCGCACCTGGCGGCTGGGCGGCTGGCGATCCGGGTATGGCCGGGAACGAGGGCGGGGAGGCTGGGCGAGGAGCTGGCGGCTCGGGCTCTGAAGGGAGGGGTACGGTAGTGGGGCAGCATTTAGCACATACCATTCACGGAATTGAGGGCCAGCTGGGTCTGAGGTGGAAGAGGAGCAGGAGGTGGAGGAGGAGGAGGAGGGAGGAGGAGGAGGACGAAGTGTCGATGGAGGGGCTGCTGGTGGCGATGGGCCACGGGTTAGCTGAAACGTTTGGAATTCCGCAAATGAACACTGCTAGCTAACGCTCGTGGAAAAGTCCTCAAGAATCTCTGAACCCTTCCCTAAAGAATCTCTGCCAGCCTGCCCTTTCCTCAAAGAATCTCTGCTAGCCTGCCCTTTCCTAAAGAATCTCTGCTAGCCTGCCCTTTCCTAAAGAATCTCTGCTAGCCTGCCCTTTCCTAAAGAATCTCTGCTAGCCTGCCCTTTCCTAAAGAATCTCTGCTAGCCTGCCCTTTCCTAAAGAATCTCTGCTAGCCTGCCCTTTCCTAAAGAATCTCTGCTAGCCTGCCCTTTCCTAAAGAATCTCTGCTAGCCTGCCCTTTCCTAAAGAATCTCTGCTAGCCTGCCCTTTCCTCAAAGAATCTCTGCTAGCCTGCCCTTTCCTAAAGAATCTCTGCTAGCCTGCCCTTTCCTAAAGAATCTCTGCTAGCCTGCCCTTTCCTAAAGAATCTCTGCTAGCCTGCCCTTTCCTAAAGAATCTCTGCTAGCCTGCCCTTTCCTAAAAGAATCTCTGCTAGCCTGCCCTTTCCTAAAGAATCTCTGCTAGCCTGCGTTTCCTCAAAGAATCTCTGCTAGCCTGCCCTTTCCTCAAAGAATCTCTGCTAGCCTGCCCTTTCCTAAAGAATCTCTGCTAGCCTGCCCTTTCCTCAAAGAATCTCTGCTAGCCTGCCCTTTCCTAAAGAATCTCTGCTAGCCTGCCCTTTCCTAAAGAATCTCCGCTAGCCTGCCCTTTCCTAAAGAATCTCTGTTAGCCGGCCTACCGTAGTAGTCATCGGCGGCAGCTGACGGGTCGTCGATGGAGGGACGAAGCGGCTTGTGGTGATTGTTGGCAGAAGAGGCCGCGTCGTCGTCAAGACGGTCGATGGGGCGGTTTGGCTAGAAGGTGAAATTCGCTGGCTAGCTCTCTCACTCTCTCTCTCTCTCTCTCTCTCTCTCTCTCGTTCTCTCTCTCCCACCTAGTCAATCGAGTCGTGGTCGTCGGCGACGTCTGCGGGAACGTCAAGACCGAGGAGGGCGCCGATGGCCGCATCGCAGTAGTAGTCGACTAAAGCGAATACCGTACCCCACCGTACTCCCTTCTCGATTCCTTTAAAGGTGTCACCTACCTGAGGTTGTGTCGTGGAACTGCTTGAAGACGTCGGCCTCGTCGTCGGTACCGTAATCCCGGTAGTCGGGAGCCTCGGGGGGAAATGGGGAGGAGGGCGGGTGAAGCGCGGCTGAAAGGGCAGGCTAGCAGAGATTCTTTAGGAAAGGGCAGGCTAGCAGAGATTCTTAAAGGGATGCCGACGGCATGTGTCGATCCCCCCATCAACAAATTGGCAAATAGCCAACAGGGCAGAGAGCGCGCCCTGGGGAGAGGCGCAGAGACATTTTCTTTCCCGCGCGTAATCGATTGACTTATGCCGCCCCTTTCTCTTTAAGGAAAGGGTAGGCTGGCAGAGATGCTTTGATACCTGTGTTGCGAAGGGTCTGGCGGGCATAGGAGGTCTTGTCCTCCGCGGGGCTACAAACTCCGCGTCATCCTGAGGGCGTTGCGGGACGATGAGGCCCTGGGTTGGGGACGGGGCTTCTGGAAAGGCATCGTTTTCTCTCTCTCTCTCTCTCTCTCTCTCTCTCTCTCTGGCTGTCTCTCTCTCACTCACCCGTCGTCGGGACATCCATCTTCACCTGTCCGGCCGGTATTCTATTGAAGAACGGCCTTCGCCGATTCTAAACCCATAATTAACCCCCGCGTTTCCGTGGCGTAATCGATTAAACTCCCCTCTACAGTTCCTCTGGTTACGGTAGTTATACCTTCCCCCAAACTAAGTCACCATATTGTATCCCGGTGCGAACTGAGGATTGGATTTCTAACGAATTATGTCGCGTAATTGAATACACCCACCACCAAGCAACTGAAATTCCGTGAGAACCGAAAAAAGCGGGTTTTTTAAACATCTAGAACTCGTCGGTTCGTTCCCCGCCGAGGTCAAAGTTTTGCTTTTTGCTTTTTTATTTTTTTAACTGGATTTTGAACGTCTAGAAGTCGTGGGTTCGATCCCCGTCGAGGTCAAAGTTTGCGTTTTGCTTTTCGGCGCTTTCCACCAGTTTTTGAACGTCTAGAACTCGTTGGTTCGATCCCTGTCAAGGTAAGTGCTTTGCTTTTTTGCTTTTTGACGTTTTCTACAAGTTTTTCAACATCTAGAATTGGTGAGTTCGATCCCTTCCGGCGTCAAAGTTTGCTTTTTTTTTTCGACGTCTTCTACAAGTTTTTTGAACGTCTAGAAGTCGTGGGTTCGATCCCAGGCGAAGCGTTTGCTTTTTGCTTTTCCCAAATTTGAGTGAGAACCAAAAAATAACCAAGTCATTTGGGTCATCATCTTCGTCGGCTTGTTGAACATCTCCGTCATCTCCAGGTACCGTAGTCGACTCCTGGGATACGGTAGTCGGCGTGGCTTCGGTTAGTGATACAGTAGTGGTTGGGGTGGGGTCATTAGGTGTGCTCGTAGTGCTCGGCTCCGATACCGTACTTTTCTCGGGTTCTACCGTAGTCCCCGTGGCGGTGGGTACGGTAGATCCATCAGTTGGGCTCAGCGAGGAATTCTCTGTAGTTTGTAGCGTCGTGGTTTCGGTTTTTGGAGGAAATACCGTAGCCTCCGATTCCGCTACAGTACTAAGTCCGCCATCGTCAATAGGTGTAATTGTAGTCATAGCCAAGAGCCGTTCCTCCTCCTCGAAGTCGTCGGCCGTCTCCTCGGCGCTCAGGATTGAATTGCCGGCGAAGCGGAAGGGGACGGTGAGGGGCACTGTAGCAAGTACCGTGCTCCTTGAGGATGTGGTGGTAGATATTGAACCGCTTGGAGTCGTCGTCGGCGTTGTGGTTCCCGTACTACCCGACATTGCACTACTCGAAGACGTTGGCGCCATTGAGGCGGCCGTACGATCCGATACGGTGCTGCTCGAGGTCGACGTCGTTGTTGGCGGACTGCTCGGAGACGTCGTTGTAGTTGCCGTAGTGCTCGAAAACATTTGCGATGTCGTCACTGTACTGCTTGGTGTTATGATTGTCGTACTAACAGATTCTGAACTGCTTGGTGGCGTCGGCGTTGTCGGTGCGGTACTCCTCAGAAAGAAGGGTACCCTGGTGTTGAACACTTCAACGGCTTCTTCTGGCACGGGTACGGTAACGGCCGGTTCTGGGGTGTCCATTAGTGCTGCGGTGGTGTCAGAGACCAGTGGAATCGCGGAGCCTCTCGTAGTCGAGGGTACGGTACCGGGCAGAAAGACGGCCCTCGGCGGGTTGAGCAGTCCCGCGGCGATGGCGTGTGGTCCCGCAACGAATTGGGGTACGCTGGGCGGCACTGTGGGTCCTTTTTCCGCACCCACATCTTCAAGACGTTCAGCCCTGATGGCGTTTGAGGGTCCCGCCGCGAATTGGGGCCCGGTAAAAGGTACTGTGGCGAAATTTTCTGCACCCACGGCTTCAAGACGTTCAGCCCTGATGGCATTTGAAGGTCCCGGCGCGAACTGGGGTACTGTAGGCGCTACAGTAACCCCGTTGTTAGTGGTGTGGCTGCCGAAAATGGGGCGTGTTACGCGAAAACCGATGATGGTGCGCCCGCCGCGGCCACGGGTTACGGTATCCGGTGATGGTGATGGTGGGTGGGTGGTGCCGACGATGATCGACAACTAAAAATTGGGGTAACCGAGGATGGGGCGGGGGGTTGGAGGGGGCAGACTGGCCACAAGGGGATACGGTAGCTTGGGGCGTCGTTTAGAAAATGACGTTTAAAGGGGCCGGGAAGCGCCATTTTCTTGCTGTTCGACCAGATGGTACGCTAGCAGGAGCGCGATTTAGAAAATGCCGTTTTAAAGGGACGGGAATCGTAATTTTCTTGCTGTTCGACCAGCTGATACGGTAGCTAGGGGCGCCGTTTAGAAAAGGGCGTTTAAAGGGGCCAGGAAGCGTCATTTTTTGCTGTTCGGCCAGTGGATACGGTAGGGAAGGGCGCTATCTAAAATGGCGTTTAAAGGGGCCGGTAAGCGTCATTTTTCTTGCTGTTCGGCTTGCGGTTACGGTAGCTGGGGCGCGGTTTAGACAAGTAACTTTTCAGTGACCGGAAAATGACTATTGTTGCGTATTTTGGAGGCCTTAAAGTGTCCAAATTAGCATCAGGATACAGTTTCCAGAGCCTGATTTCGAAAATCACGCTTCAAAGAGGCCTACGGCCGGAATTTCCCCAAGAATCCCCGCCAGTCTGCCCCTCCCATCCCCCCAATTTGCCGCCCAGTTAGTGGAAAGCCAACGTGCAGAGAAATAAAATAACAAAATTGGGCTCAAAATGTTGGAAAACCTGTGGCCGGCGCGGGAAAGCGGGGCGGCGCGGTTGCGGCGGGCGGGCGATGTCGAATCGGGGCGCCTCGGGGGCTGGAAAATGGATTTGGTAGCTGATTCCTGAAGGATCTTTGCTAGCCTGCCCCCTTCCTAAAGGAACTCTGCTTGAACTCACTGATCTGCGGCGGTGACGGTGGCGCGGTTGGCGGCGGCGGGCGAGTTCTGAATAATATTGTATTTATCATTTTCGACGAGTTCAAGGCCAAGGCAAAGCAAGCCTAAGCCTCAGCTAAACCTAAGGCTAAGTCTAAGTCTTAGCCAAGCTTAAGCTCATGCCCAAGCCTAAGCAAAGCCTAACCTAAGCCTAGTCTAACCCCAGCCTAAGCTAAGTCATGCCTAAGCCGGAGCCTAACCTAAGCTTAGGCCTACGCCTGAACCTTAAACCTAAGCCTAATTTTTAGCTAAAGCCTAAGCTTAAGCCTAACCCTAAGCTTAGTCTAAGCCTAAGCCTAAGCCTAAGCCCAAGCTCAATCCTAATCCCAAGCCAGATTAGCCAAAAACCAACAGTTAAAAGTAAAAAATTACGTTAGCGCGGCAACTGTCGTAGATGGTCTTTTGGTTAGTGGGGTCGTGGATCCACTGAAGACGTCCGGGCGGGAAGCGGACGAGGAGCGGAGGGCGACGTCGAGTGGTTGGGAGGGGTTGAGGGATGAAGGGTGGGGAGAGGAAGAGACCGGAAGCGCCGGGTGGGCCCTCACTATCCGGCAGCTCCGTCAATCGGAGACCCGGGAAACGGCCGCGGAATCTGTCGAGGTATCGGAATGTTAAGTTAGGGCAATGGCACTCGAAAATACGTAAAAGACACGTCAAAACTACGATACCTTCCGATGAACGATGGGGGAGGGGCGGCTTGGGGGGCGGGTTGCGGTGCTGCCTGTGGTGCGGCCGGCGGTGCGGTCGGCGGGGAATGCGGGACCACGGGCGGCTGCTGGGCTACGGGGGGATGCTGTGGACGCTGGAGACGCCGGCGGAAGAAGGCAGGGTTTCGGTTGAACGGCCTGGAAATGATGGTCGGTTTTTTCTTCATCTCTCTCTCCATCTCTCTCCATCTCTCTCTCTCTCTCTCTCTCTCTCTCTCTCTCCTCTCTCCTCCCTCTCTCTCCGTCTCTCTCTAGTTCGCTCTCTCTCTCTCTCGCTCTCGCTCTCTCTCTCTCATTCTCTCTCTCTCTCTCTCTCGCTGTCTCTCTCTCTCTCACCTCCTCCCTCTAAACGGTCCCCTCATCGGAAATCGATTCAGCGTGTCCAACCGTCTATCGGATGGTGGCGTAGTCGACGCGACCACTGCTGCTTCTACCGTATCCGGTTCTTCCGGTTTCTAGATTAGCGTAATCTCGGCTTTTTGAGGCCGGAAATGGTCGCAAACTAAAAAAAGGACTCCCGAATGTCTAGTCGCTTAGCTGAGGGTTACGGTATATTGGGGCAACTTATAGAAAGCAAGCTAGGTGGGCCGATTGGAGCTTACCTTACGATGGCGGCGGGAGAATAACTATAAAGGGAGGGATAGAGAGAGAGAGAGAGACAGAGAGAGAGAGAGAGAGAGAGAGAGAGAGAGAGCGCGCAAAAGTCCACGAACTGTTCTCGATATCTGCCGTGCTTCCCGAAATTCGTCTCCATCCCCTTCCACTGCCTGCTCATCGCCGCCCCCACTAAACGGGCGTGTAAGTTTCGGATTTTTCGAGGGTACGGTACATTCCACATTAAGGTAGATGGTTAAGGAGTTTCGAAATTACGGTTTTTTCGGGTTACGGTAGTTTACAAATTGCGCGTTTTCCAGGATTACGGTAGTTTCCGGATTTCGTTACTTCCCAAACCACGCTTTTTTTGGACTGTGATATCTTCCAAACTACGGTTGTTTCCAAATGATGGAACTCCACGGAGTACGGCAATTTCAAATTACTGGAATCCGGATTACGGCAGTTTCCGGGCATTACGGCATTCCTGATTACGGTAGTTGCCTGTATTACGTTTCTTTCCCAACTTACGGTATACGCCGGACTACGGTACGTTCCAAAAGACAATAGTTAGGCTCCACAGTAAGCTACTGTACTACGGTTACGGGACGCTCCAAAATACGCAATTTCGCGGATGGGCCTTGGCTTGGGATCGGTGGCAAAAAATGCAAGATTCCAATGGAATGTGACTCACTCGACGAATGCTGCCAGCTGTGCATCCGTCCCGAATTGCTAAAATTTGAATTATTGATAAACAAATCGCAAAAATTTAGCGAAATACCGCGCAGCTGCCGCCCAGCTGATAGTGATACCCAGAAGGAGAAGCCACGGGAATAGCCATCGGGCCATCGTTGCCCCGGAAAGCGGATACGGGTGGGGCTGGCTAGCAGAGATTCTTAAGGAAAAGGCAGGCTAGCGGAGATTCTTTAGGAAGGGGCAGGCGAGCAGAGATTCTTTAGGAAAGGGCAGGCTAGCAGAGATCTTTAGGAAAGGGCAGGCTAGCAGAGATTCTTTAGGGAAAGGGCAGGCTAGCAGAGATCTTTAGGAAAGGGCAGGCTAGCAGAGATTCTTAGGAAAGGGCATGCTAGCAGAGATACTGTAGAAAATGGGGCCAAACCAGCGGAGATTTTGCGGATTTTTCAGCAGGGCTAGCTAGCAGAGGTCATCTGGGAATTTTTTTGGAAAAGGCTGACTAGCAGAGATTTTGGAGGAAATTGCAGGAGGCAAGCGAGATCTTTAGGAAAGAGCAGGCTAGCAGGAGATTCTTCAGCAAAAAGCCTATCTGTGGCAAGCAACCAGGTGTGAAACAATCTGCCCTCGCTGTGTGTGGAGCTTGTTTGGATGCGGGTATCTGTTTTTGAGGATAGGATGGATGGGGGATCGAGATCGGATACAGATTGGCACTCAAACAGAGACCATTTGAGGGATGGTCAGACAAGACAATTCCCGGAAAATCCGGGGAAAATGACGGGACAATGAGGTGGGAGAGGGGGAAGAGAGAGAGAGAAAGGAGAGAGAGAGAGAGCGTGAAAAACCAAAAAGGGCAGACTAAAGAATGTGCTCTGCTGCGGGCAGAAAATGGCGGGTGTGTTCCTGGAAAAATTAGATCGTTATCGTCACATTTTTCCCACGCTTCGTTTTATTTCCGGGTTACGGTACCGAGCAATCTCGTTCAGGTGCTGTTTTTCTTTCTTTCTCTCTTTCTCTCTCTCTCGGGTTCTTTCTCTCTCATCTCTCTCTCTATTTGTGTTAGTCTTCTGTCCCACCCTGCAGGCAGGCTTGAGCAGCAACCATTTTGGAATTGGGACCGGACTAAAGTCGTCTCCAATGGCCTCTACAGGCCTCTTTTCAGGATCGGCCAACATGCCCGGGAAACGGAATTTAATGGAATGGGTGGTTGTGGTCTGGAGGGCTATAAAAGATTTCGTTCTCTAATAGGCGAGAGAAGACAGACAGAGAGAGAGAGGGGGAGAGGAGAGTGGAGAAAGAGAAAGAGAGAGAGAGAGAGAGAGAAAGAGAGAGAGAGAGAGAGAGAGAGAGAGAGAGAGAGAGAGATCGACCGCTGGACCCAAATAAAGGACCATTAAAACAAGAGGACAGTCCCGTCCTGTCTGTCCATAGTTGAAAGCTGTAGTGCCTGAACGTGATCCTTGCCAATTTTTCTAGAGGTGATAAAATTTACATACGGATGGCAAGGCAAATAGACCGTTTTTCAAAAAGAGAAAGCGAGGTGGAGAGGAGAGAGAGAGAGTGAGAGAGATACAGAGACAGAGAGAAGAGAGATACAGAAAATTGCTTGGAACTGTACACGACATGCAAATAACCTTGCTCAGGCCGAAATAGGACCTTCTACCCCCGATCTGGAGGTCACTACGCGGCAATACCTACTGGGAACGGGCCTGATGTCCATTGGATTGTCTCGTAGTCTCAAAATGGGGAAGACACAATGTATCAACTCGTTCTCTCTCTCTGTCTCTCTCTCTCTCCGCGACCAACCCCCCGTGTTCCGACTGTAAAATCGGATCGTCTCGTTCGTGTTCCTTTGGGCACATGTTCGCCTTGGCTCTCACGCTGTCTCAGGGGATATTGATAGGCAAGAGGCGGTGGTCAGCTAGCAGAGAATGTCTGAAGAAATGGAAAGGGGGCAGGCTAGCAGAGTCTCACTTAAGAACTTTCCGCAAATGGCCATTGCTTTTTCGACTTTCGATCATCCCGCTAAGCCGGACTAGAGTCAGAATTACGTGGCGTAATCGATTAGCGTAAAAACGGAGTTCGTACTTGGTAATCCCAGATTAGGAAGAGATAACAAAGTGGCGTGAGTGAATGATGAAAATCGAGTATGGGAGGGAGGGAGGGAGGGAGAGAGGGAGAGCGAGGGAGAGAGAGAGAGAGAGAGAGAGAGAGAGAGAGACATGGAAGGCTGAAAAGTTGGTTTCGAAGTGCTATGGGGATGCCTTTTAGGGATGGCAATGCTGGCGGTGATGCACATTATCACCAGAGGGCGTCTAATGGAGTGGAATGGAGAGAGAGAGAGAGAGAGAGAGAGAGAGGGAGAGGGAGAGAGAGAGATCGTCCTCCCCATTGGCAACTCCTCCGCTGTCCAAAAAAGGGCGTGATGGTCAGCAGATTTCCCCTCACGATTTTCGGACCAAAAAACAACCCATTGAAAAGTACAGCTCCCACTAATGCTTTGAGGTACACATTTTAGGAAACCAAAAAGTGTGGCTGCGAGTTGCCTTCAGGGCTTCAAAACCTAAGCCTGAGCCTAAGCCCAAACCTAAGCCTAAGCCTAAGCCTAAGCCTAAGCCTAAGCCTAAGCCTGCGAAGCCTAAGCCTAAGCGGAAGCCCTAGCCTAAGCCTCAAGCCTAAGCCTCAAACCTAAGCCCAAGCCTGCGAAGCCTAAGCGAAGCCTAAGCCTAAGCCTAAGCCTGCCTAAGCCTAAGCCCAAACCTAAGCCCAAGCCTAAGCCAAGCCTAAGCCTGGCTTAAGCCTAAGTCTAAGCCTATACCCTAAGCCCATGCTTGAGTCTAGCCTAAGCCTACTAAGTTATGAGCTCAGCCGATTACTTCAAATCCACGTCGTAATCGATTACGCGCTGAAATAATCGCCGCAGGCTGTCGGAGTTAGACCACGTAACCGATTCTGGAAACTCAAGCCTGACCCTCACCAGGCTAGCAGAGATTCTTAAGGAAAGGGTAGGCTAGCAGAGATTGTTTGAGGAACTCTGTCTGAGATCAGAGATCCCCATGTACGACAAGATCTCTAATGACAGCCGGGTGGGCCAAATCCGTTCCGAGTCCGGCGCCGTAGCCGAGAAAACGGTTGGCATCAATTTTCCGGAACCAGGATCGGACAGCTGAATGGCAAGCGGGAGGCGATAACATCTCCGGAGGGGTGGAGATGGGTGTGAAACGGAATTTTCCGGGGATTTTTGGGATAGTGTCCAGATTTTATCGCGTAGTCCGGGACGGGATCGGGCCATTTTAATAAGGTTTCTAGATAGATTCTCGCTAGCCTGCCCTTTCCTAAAGAATCTCTGTAGCCTGCCCTCTCCTAAAGAATCTCTGCTAGCCTGCCCTTTCCTAAAGAATCTCTGCTAGCCTGCCCTTTCTTTCTAAAGAATCTCTGCTAGCCTGCCCTTTCCTAAAGAATCTCTGCTAGCCTGCCATTTCCTAAAGAATCTCTGCTAGCCTGCCCTTTCCTAAAGAATCTCTGCTAGCCTGCCCTTTCCTAAAGAATCTCTGCTAGCCTGCCATTTCCTAAAGAATCTCTGCTAGCCCCTTGCCCTTTCCTAAAGAACCTCTGCTAGCTTGCCCCCACCGTTTTTGAGGTGCAGCTAGCCGAGATTCTTTAGGAAGCCGAAAACAGAACAGACATTGGATTCCGCGTGGGATTTGGACTTGAAGTTGGAGAATCGTAGCGGCGCAGATGCCAATCTTGGTCGCACTTTAGGGAATGGCAGACAGAGAGAGAGAGCAGAGAGAGAGAGAGAGAGAGAGAGAGAGAGAGAGAGAGAGAGGACGCGATCAAGCTCGAAAATCTCGGCGGAGTACGATGGAATCCGGCCGTCTGCGGCAATTCTCGGAGGGAAAGTCGCGTTCGGAGTATCATGGTGGAACTGGGAACGGCTGAGGGAGATTGATATTCGAAATGATCACTGAAATAGCCGAACAAATTGATGGAATGAAATGAGCACGAGCGAACAAGCTATCAGAGATCCTTTAGGAAAGGGCAGGCTAGCAGAGACTCCTCAGGAAACTCGAAATCGATCGATAAATCACACAGAGCGGAAGTAGCATATTTGTGACGGTTTTGAAGTATGTGGAGGTGCTTGTGGTTGACGATTTTGAGGAGGCTGATAGGAGACAAAGAGCCGGAGGGGGGATCGGCCGAATCGGAGGGGAGAAGCAGATCGAGTGGAGGGCTGGGCAGGCTAGCAGAGATTCTTTGGAAACGGAGCGGAAACCGTAGTGGATGTTGATTGGCAGTAAAAGTGGGTTGGAATCGCCAGTCGACAAATAGGGAAAGTAGTAATGGGGGAATTGACAAAAAGTGAAGGTCAATCGGTGGGGGGAGGAGAGACGATCGGCTGACCGGAACCCTAGGGAAGTACTACGAAAAGGTGACCGCGATCTGGAGGGATTCTGGGTGTCTTTGAAGGGAGTGTGACAGGAGCGGCAGAGCGAGCGAGAGAGAGAGGGAGCGTGCGAGAGAGGGAGGAAAGAGAGTGCGGGAGCGAGAGCGAGAGAATTATAGATATAGCGAGAGATCGAGTTATAGAGATATAGGAAGAGCGAGAGCGAGAGAGAGAGAGAGAGAGAGAGAGAGAGAGAGAGAGAGAGAGGGGGAGAGAGAGAGGAGGAGGGGAGAGAGGATAGTGCGAGGGAGAGAGAAACAGAGAGAGTGAGCGAGAGAGAGAGTGCGATAAAGCAGGAGAGAGAGCGAGAGAAAGCCAGAGTGAGGGGATAGAGAGAGGAGTGGAGAGAGGGAGAGAGAGAGAGAGTGAGATAGAGAAAAGAATTGACAAAGCGACAACTAGCAGAGATTTTCGCAAAACTCCGGTAGCCAGCCAAGTTCCCTTGCCCCTTGCCTTGCAAAATTTCCATCAAAAAGGACAACCAGCAGTAATTTATTTTGAGGTACCGGTACCAATTTTAACCAAAAATCCCGCTAGCGCAGATTACCCAAAAGGCCAAAAATAGCCACAGCACCGTCGAGTTCCATTCGCCATGCCGAATTTTGCTCTGCCGATTGACGCTGTGCCGAATTTCACTATGCCGAATTTTCACTATGCCGAATTTTCACTATGCCGAATTTTCACTATGCCGAATTTCGCTATGCCGAATTTTTAGTATACCGAATTTTCACCATGCCGATTTTCACGATACCGAATTTTCACCATGCCGAATCTTCGCCATACTAATTTTGATAACCGGTATGTTCCCCATTTTTTTACGGTTTTTTCCAAATATCATGGGCCTAGAAAGTTAGATTTAGCCTAGAATTTTCCAAAAACTCGAGCAGAAGGTAGGTCCCGTAGGCGCAGCAGATTTTTTTGTTGCACCGCTAAGTCCCAGTCGATCTTAGTTATTAATATTAGTAGAGACTATTAGTGGTAGAGTAGAAAAAATTCGGCATAGCGAAATTCGGTATAGTGAAAATTCGGTATAGTGAAAATTCGGTATAGCGAAATTCGGCATAGTGAAAATTCGGCATAGTGAAAATTCGGCATAGTGAAAATTCGGCATAGTGAAAATTCGGCATCGTGAAATCGGCATAGTGTAAATCGGCATAGCGAAAATCGGCACAGCAAGTATTTACCAGCACCGTCGATTGTTCAGCTGCGTACAGCCTGCCAGGCAGATCGGGTACAAAGCGATGGCCGCGAAAACGAGGGATGGATGGGGGAATGGGGAAAGCGAGATCTGCCCCTCAGTCCTCCACCAACGATTGGCATTGGATGCGAGGCTTCTTCCCCCCCCCCGGCTTCTCGGTTTCCGCCCGTCGTTTCACTCGACCACAAGACGCCATGCTACACAAAACACGAGACAGCGCGGCAACAATAACAGGGCAGAGCTCAAAGAATCGCTGCTAGCCTGCCCTTTCCTAAAGAATCTCTGCTAGCTGCCCTTTCTAAAGAATCTCTGCTAGCCTGCCCTTTCCTAAAGAATCTCTGCTAGCCTGCCCTTTCCTAAAGAATCTCTGCTAGCCTGCCCTTTCCTAAAGAATCTCTTAGCCTGCCCTTTCCTAAAGAATCTCTGCTAGCCTGCCCTTTCCTAAAGAATCTCTGCTAGCCTGCCCTTTCCTAAAGAATCTCTGCTAGCCTGCCCTTTCCTAAAGAATCTCTGCTAGCCTGCCCTTTCCTAAAGAATCTCTGCTAGTCTGCTTGTTGCAAAAGACAAATTATGCGTTCCGGGACGCTCCTCGGAACGGCTCTAGGAAGGGATGCAAAGATGAGGGGCCGGCCAACAAACCAGCCGAAGCGATCCAACAAAAAGCGGTAGCGGCAACACTCTGAAGTGCCCTCCCTCATCCTCCACAGAGGCGCTGCTCCTCCGCTACTTTCCTATCCACAGCCGGCTACGCGCAAAAGATGGATACCAAAAATTGAGGCTGGACAACACCAAAAACCACCCAGGGCGGCAGCCGAAATCAAAAAGTGACTCCGCACCTAGAATCTCGCAAAAAAATTCTTTGTTGCTTTTCTTTCTTTCTATGTCCGTTATCTTTCAGCTATGACAATTTGAAGGCCTTCCAGTTGTTGGAGGTGATAGAGCAGCTGAAGCCCTACCAAACCATCTAGATTTCATAATAAACGGCGCATACATGACAAGATTATACGGTATCTACCTTTGTTCCGCGGCGCCACTCCCAACGACGACTCCCCGTGCTTTCAGCCGACCACTCTCGCGCCGTAATTCCCGGGGGCTTTCACAATGTTTGCCAAACCTTATAAGAAGTCATATTTGGGCTCTTTTTTAGCGTTAGTATGCTTTTTAGATTTAGTTTTATGTAAGCGCTAAACTAGCCCTAGCCCTGAGCGTATCTCCAAACCCAGCCGAAGCCTAGCTGAGGGCCCGTTGGGCCAGGTCTAATCGGTTTCTTGTTTCCTACGGAAAACTAAAGCACTAATAAGATCGGAATCCTAAACTTTTGTTGTTTGTCCGAGGTCTAGAGCCATGGCTTCGATGTCTTTTTTCCAACTAGCTTAGTTGTGGCCGAAATTGAGAATGGCGGGTGAAGCATGGCCCCTAGGTTTGCGGTTAAAATAAGCTCAAATGCTCGGTTAGAATGGTTTCCGTTTCGTAGACCCTGGGAAAGCTGAAAATGCAACATGGCACCAAAACTTGTATTGTACCGCCGTTTTCTCCTGTTTTCTTCACATAATTCCGTGGAACTTCGAAATTTTGTCTTTTTAGGTCCGCAACATGGTTGACGCGCTCAACTTGAACTTCAACCACGCCATCGCTTCGCCGCGGAATGCCGAGCCGGAGGAGGAAAAGATATGGTACGCTTTTCCCCTGATATCACTTGATTTTTCGTCTTTCAGGACCAAGATATTGACGGAGGTGAGCGCCAAGTCGCGGAACACGATGCAGGGCGCCAGCATCATCGTGCTCGGTATTTTTGCTCTACGTTTTTTCGATGAATATTGATTTTCTAGGCGACTCCGCTGCCGGCAAGACATCTCTCCTCTCGAAGCTCGAGAAGATTGACAACCCCAACAAGGTCCGTGTTTTTGTGCTCATTTTGATTTTTTTGTTTTAGGGTTCGGCCCTCGAGTACCACTGCTTGAGCGTTCAACCGGATGCCCGGGACAGCAGCTACGCCTACAGCCTCGGCACCGCGGGAGGCGCGCTCGGGCCTGCCGAAAATTTAACACTGCCGGTACGTTTCCGCGGATCTGCAGGGTTGCCAGAAAAATCGATCCCCTATTTGGCCGCAGAACTGTCCCGATTTGGACGATTTGGGCATCTATTGAAAGCCTTCGGCAAGGCGAGAAAACAGGCACTGTTCGTTTTCAATATAACCATTTTAGTTGGCGAATTTTTGGCGCAAAATCCATGAAAATTGCTGTTTTATGCACAATTCGCTTTTGAAGAAATCGTTCATATCTAGGCGGGCTAAAAACTTTGCAGAACGAAAGCGCTTGTTTTCTCGCCGTTTCAAGGGCTTGGAATGGTGCAAAACTCTTCTCGATTTTCTGGATACCTATATTGTTGCCATTAACCGTGTGACGCGCGTCGAAATTCCCCGCTTCATTTTCAACGTTTACTGTAATTTTTTTCAGCTCTGGGTCCTCGACGGCAACGAGAAGTTCGCCCGCTGCTTCGCCACGCCCTCTCTGCCAACACGCCCTCCAAGACGGTCGTCATCATCGCCGTGTCGCTTGACAACCCAAGTGCGTTTTATTAGGCGTTGAAAATGCTTTCATTTTAGGCCCGGTGCACTCGCTACGGCGATGGGCGTCGATTGTGGCCAAGGAGATTGCCAGCAAGTACGAGCCGGCGGTGGTCAACGAGGCGAAGCAAGGTCAAGAGCGATCTGGCAGGAGTACGTCGAGCCGCTGGAATCGTCGATGACCGCCTCGATGGCGCCGGGACTTGAGGATACTGGTAAGCTTTTCGTTGGTCGTTTGGCCCAAAATTCTGGTGGTTTCTGCTTTGAAAGCACATCATTTCTTACGTTTCTAAACTGTTTTTACCATTCCTAAACGTAATAACTGTGCAAATTATTTTCAAAAATGCAAAAATTAACGATTTTTCGGTAAAACTGGCCGATTTCCGATTCAAACCGAGATTTTCTTAATTTTTTATTGATTTCCGCTTAAAATATGGTGATATTTTGCTAAAAACTGCCAAAAAGACGTATTATTACGGAACTAGGCGTTTCTGGACTTCTGGGAAAAAGGTTATAATCTGCCCTATAATGCGAATGCACCTGATATGGCATTTCAAGTGTATTCACAAATTTTTGGCGTTTTTTGAAGGAATTTTTGCAGGTCTGCTTCCTCTCGAGCAAGGCGTTCTCACGGAGAACTACGGCGTGTCGATGATCGTCGTCGTGACCAAGGCTGACCTCGTGAATGAGAGGAGCGAGCAGGCGATGGACAAGGTGCTGTGCGACGTGCGGCGCTTCTGCCTTCAATATGGGGCCGCGCTCGTCTACACGACGACCAAGAATCCGAAGAACACGCAGCTGCTAGCCAAGGTAAATCGTGGCTTTCCGGTTAAAAAGGGCTGTCGATTTCGAAAAAAACGGAACCAGCTTTTGACCGACGAAAAATTTCTAGGCTTTTCGACCAGAGCGTTTGCGGAAACTTTACCCTTTTTTGCATCAAAATTTAGCTCTTTTTCCCGTCAAAAACGTCTGGTTCTTTCGCAAGATCGGGTTCTTTTACTAAAAACCTTATTAAAATAATTCATTTTACGTTGCTAGGCATGGTTAGACTTTTACAAAAGTTTTTGTTTCCCCCCAAAATGCGAATGAGCCAAATGTCTTTTTGGAAATCGATTTCCCAGGAAAATTGTGTCGCACAGACGTGTTAACTTTCTTTTAGTACATCGTGCACCGTGCCTATGGTCTCCCCTCTACCAATTCCGGCCCAGATGATCGACCGAGATACAATCTTCGTGCCGGCCGGCTGGGATAGCGAAAAGAAGATCGAGATCGTTAGGGTCAGTGTTATTCTGTGAAGTTTTAATCCCATTTTCCCATTTCCAGTCGAACATCACCGAGATTGACGTGCTCGAGCCGAATCGCGAGAAGGTGAACGTCGTCAAGGAGCCCGAGGTCGTTGCCGAGGACACGCAGGTTTGCTCATTTTCATTTCTGGGAGTTTACAGTCTTTTTTTGCAGGTGTTCTCGCCCGGTTCGCCGACATGTTGGCCAAGGACTCGGCGACGAATGGGCAAAAGAAGGTGGACGATGCCGGGGCAACGGCTTCCGATTCTCCGTTGGCCAGCTTCTTCTCAAATCTGCTAAAGGTATTAATCCGATTCCCTTTTCCAATGGACAAAAACGAGGCGCGGGATCGAGCCCGCTATTTGCCGTCCTGCGTTCAATTTTTGGTTAGAATAAAGACGGTTCGACCCCGCCCCTCCATCGGCACCTTCACAACTCGCATTTCGTCGTCCGGTATTCAGAATACGCTCTTTCTCTCGCTTTTTCGTTGTCGATGGCTGCCGCGCGGAAACGCGCAAAAGAAAGCATGTTGAACGGCTGAATGTTGTGAGGGTGGTGCTCGTCGCGCAAAATCATTCTCGCGGATCGGCCGATGTCTCGGATTTCATTTCCCATTTATCGTTTTCTCTTTTTCAGGACAAGCCACAATCGACGCGGACAGCCGCCCCCGTTTCCGAGGAGCAGCAGCAGGCACAAATCGAGAAGATTTTTCCAGGTAAACCCATTTCTAATTTGCGAGAATTTGTCGGGTTGTTTAGAAAAAGCGACGAGACGGACAGCGCGGGTAGGGCAATCGACACGACAAATAAGGGAAAAACAGGAGAAAAATGTCATAATATAAACCCATTTCCCCGTGTCTGATTTCTATGCGTTTGATTGTGATTAGCAATTCGAAAAAGCCCCGTCTCTTGTTATTTCTGGTCCTCGTATCCGCGTTGTTTCAGTTCGATGTCTCCATCTGCTCTCCCCCAACTTCAGAAACGTTATGCCCTGGGCGTGGCTTTTCCCTTTGATGTGCAGAGCTTTGACAGTGCTTCATCCAATTTTGCTTGTGCCCTCATAATAAACTTTTTACCAACTGGAAGCCATAAATTTCTTCCGGGCAACGGTGCCATCGCGGGCACCCGCACCAGAAATCACAATTCCAGCATGGAAGACGTGATCGAAATGGAGAAGATCTGCCGGGCGGCGTCTCGTTCTAGACGTGACGAGGAGGGGCGCCGTCTGTCGATTTTCGGCTCGTCTCGCTGGAATCAAGCCGTTTCTTCTGACGTCTTGACGCTACGCGTAACCGATTGCCACCCGCCCTACACAGCTCGAATGCTCGCAGCGTGTCAAAAGGTTGTGGTTCGTTACCGGGGGGGGGGATTTTTGTCAATAGCTTCTCTTCTTCTTTCTCTGTTCGAGCTCGCTTAGCTTAGTAGCAGAGCATTGCGCTTGATCAGACGCGAAAAACTGACCAAGTAGCCTAAAAAATCACCTAAAAATTTTGCCCCCCCCCAAACGTGAATAGTACCAATCCTTTGTTTTTTTGATGCTCTACTACGTGACGAACTGATGAACAATCTACGAGATCAACCCCCCTGCTAACGAACCAGAACCCCCAAAAAGGGGGACCCGGGCCGACCCGAGGGCGGTGAATACGGCGGTGGAAGGAGGCGGGGCACGCGATGCGGTGGAGACGACGGTCTGCGTGCTGCACAGACTCGGGGCCGGCGAAGCGTGCATATTCTGAGCCGGGGCATGCAACGATGATGATGACGAGATGATGATGATGATGAATGGTAACCACCAGGTAGTGGTGGCAATGCATCAAAACCGGCACAGGCGGAGAAGAAGCGCGGGGAAACCGACCGAGCAACGCCAGCTGGTCATGCGCCTCGATCGCTTGGAAATCTGAACTTTTCAAATATAAATTGTGTTTTTAAAAAGGCTTTTTCCTATTCCTAAGCGTGAAAAATTCACAAATTTGATTCAAAACTATCAAATATATCCATCTTTCGACCAAAAAGCCGATTTTTAAGCAAAATTTCGACTTTTTTGGACCGTTTTTAAAGTTTTTAGATAGTTTTCTGGTTGAAATCAAGTCATAGATTACTAAAAACCGCTATTAAAGTACCTCCTATAAACCTACTAGGCATTTCTGGACCTATCCAAAAAGGTCCGGTTTTTCGGCGTTTTTTAGCGTTTTCTGCCGGAAATATTGTGTTATTTTGCTCAAAAAACGCTACTAACGTACTTTTGACGCAGTTACTAGGCTTTTCTGAGCTCTTAGGAAATCCCCCTGTTAATGCGAAAGCACCAAATTTTGAGAGAGTGAGGTTTGGCAGGCCGTACTACGTACGCTCGTCGATGCTGTACCACTGGAAAAGGCAGATCCACACGAGGAATTGGTAGGCGATGATCACCGACACGAAGAGGGCCGTGTTGAAGAACGACCAGAACATGTTCCACAGGCTATCCTCATCGTCGCCATTCTGCTGCAAATCGAGGGTGCGGATTCCTGGTTTTCCAAAAGCCAAAACAAGGCATTTGCTTAGGTGCTTTCGCATTATCGGGGGAGCGAAATTTTGTGCAATTCTAGAAATTCCGGTAATTTAATAGAAAGCGTTTTAATAGTTTTTTGCGTAAAATAAAACTATATTTCGACTAGCAAAACTATCGCAAGACTTTAAAAACGTTGAAAAGGCGAAATTTTGGTCAAAAATCTGTCTTTTTCGGTAGAAAATCAGTTTTTTTATACAATTTGTAAGTCCCCGATACTGCTCAAGAACGTTTTCTTACTCAAGGTTGTTGGTTCTGGAGAGGACGTATCGGGGTCGAGGCACGTCATCGGCCGTTGATTGTCGCGTGCCGAGCGTGTGGTTCAGCCAGTCGACCAGGGTCTCGCAAATTCAATGCTTGCTGTCAACGGTTCTGAGCTGTTGTGGGGGAGTACGACGACGGCATGACGTACCCAACGGGCCGTGCTCGAGGTTGATGAGCAGCGTGCTGGCCAGCCCGTATGCCGACTCATCCGGGCCCACCATCCGCGACTTGCTGTTCGTGATGAATCGAAGGCCGTGCACGAAGACGTCTACAACAAAATAGGGGAAAGCTCTCTCTTTTAGGTTCTGGACTGTTAGCGGGGGAGGGGGAGGTACTAAGGCTGAACTCCAGTCCCCCAGCCGACCCCACCTACCATCTCGGCTCCCTGTTCATCTACAGGTGTGTAAAGTATACCAAAATGTTCGTCTTGTTCTGGCGAGTATTTTGGTATACTTTACACAACTGTAGATGAACACGGAGCCGAGATACAAGCGTTGGGTGCTGGCTTCGGGGGGGGGTAGACTGCACTCTAACCAAAAGTGGTTATCCCCTTGCTAACACTCCCCCGCTAACAGTCCAGATCCAGTTGAAGCGTATACCCTCTCTGCCGATGCAATGCTTGAAGCACATCGCGTTCGCGCGCACTAGATCGGCCTCATCGTCGTAGTGGACAATGATGTGCGATGATGTTGATTTCCAGGATGGCCATTCACGATAGATTGTCGTCACATCGTGGCAAAGGTCCCCTACAAAATCGGGTTCTTTCCTATAGCGGGGAAGATACCGAATGTCAAAAGCTTCCAAATCTTTTGTTAAAAAAACCAAAATATTCCATTTTTGCGAGCAAAAATCGTAATTTTAAGTCAAAATTTCGATGTAACTGTTTGTAAGCTTGATGGTTTTTCTAGTAGAAATATAGTTAGATTTTACGAAAAAACACTAATACGGCACCTTCTCTATGAATTCACTAGGCACTTCCTAGACTTACAAAAAAAAATTACGGTAAAACCCAGATACTTCCCCAGCCGGCACCCAACTTGTGTATCTCGGCTCCTGGCATCTACAGGTGTGAACGTATACCAAAATGTTCGTCTTGCTGTGGCGAGTATTTTGGTATACTTCACACACCTGTAGATGAACAGGGAGCCGAGATACGGCAGGTGGGGTCGGCTGGGGGGTTTCTGGGTTTAGCCAAAATTACGTCCCCCCGCTAACAGTCCAGAATCAATTTAGGGTTAATAACTCGAGAAAAGGCGCGGCACCTACCGCGCGAATGATTGGCGGTGGTGAGAAATGGGTGGATGGCGGTGGTGTTGTTGTATGGGGGCCGGGCACACCCGAACTCTGGGCCCAGCTTCACTCGACGGCCTGTAACGCAAACGTTCAGATTTCAGAATTATTAGAGGGCCTGGGCCGACTCAAGCCTACGCCCAAGCCTAAGCTTAAGCCTAAGCCTAACAATTGGGTAATTGACCGAAAACTTGGGTAATCGAATCGGGCACCGCCGTCCTTTCCCACTCGCCCCCCACCTGGCCCACTGTTTCCTCGTACGGAAATTTCGGTGTAATCGTCGTCTGCGTAATGAATTTTCTATGGAATAAAGGTAGAGTCATCCCCCCCAGCCTAACTTTTCAGCCGTGCGTCCTATCAATGCGCCGAGTATCTCAAAATGTTCGCCATGGTCGAATTACTATAGCCAAGTTGTTTTCTTACATCAAGAATTGTTAGAAAATTTTTTACAATATTTTGAAAGTTGAAAAGATTAAGCCGTCATGCTTCGATGTATCAGGAACCTAAAACTCAAATATTTTTATTTTCCGCGATTTTTTCGACTCAAATGCATTGTAGGCTGATCCCAGAGCAAGAGCTACATTTTGGCACCATTGACAGCTCTGTACGACAAAAGAGAGCCGAGAGACGAAAACTCACTTTGGAACAGCAAAAATTAACTAAAGAAAACTCCAGACTTATAATTGTTATGAAATTTTCTAACAATTTTTTGGTGTAAGGAAACAACATGGCTATAGTAATTCGACCACGGCGAACATTTTCAGATACTCGGCGCATTAATAGGACGTATGGTTGAAAAGCTACGGCTGGGGGTAAACTAGACTTTCGTCGGAATAAATTTCTGCGTAATGCTTTTTCTGTATAATGGTTTTCTGCGTAACGGATTTCCGCGTATTGAAATTTCTGTGTATTGAAATTTCGTTATAAGGGGCTTCTGGTAATGGCTTCGCAGAATCAATTTTCGGTATAACGTTACTAAATCGATCCTTCATAACTTTTAGCGTGTTGTAGGCCATGGCGACGTGGAGGTAGACGCGATTGTGTTCCGCCTTCACTAGCGCTCCCAGCTGGTTGTACACCGTCAACAACTAAATGAGATAGCATCCTCTGTCTCTCTGTCTCTCTTCTTCTCTCTCTCTCTCTCTCCCCCCCCCTCTGCCAGCCTGCCCCCCTTCCATTTCCCTCAAGCAATCCCTGCTAGCCTGCCCCTCGAAAACTCAAAACCAACCATCAGGGCATTACTGACATCCCGGCTGCGCGGCAAGATGACGAGCTTTGCGTGTCGATCGGTGAACTGCTCGGTGCTGTTGAGGTGATCACTGTAGACAAAATACACCCACGAAATGACGAGTAGAAAAAGAAACGAACCCGTATAAGGGGATGATGAGCGGACGAATGAGGCTGCACGTCGACAGCTGGGGCGGAATGGCAGAAGCCAATCTCTGGCCGGCCAACATCACGGAGAAGTACACCAAAATCAGAGGGAAAAGCCACTGCCGAGAAGCGCCCATCATTGTCGCGCGCTGTGAGACGGATTGCCGACATTTCGGAAAAGCTAAATATCCGACGCCTACGGATTCGGAAGTTGGATGCAAATTTCTTGGACATTTCGGAGAGAGCGAGAGAGAGAGAGAGAGAGAGAGAGAGAGAGGAGAGGGGAGAGAAGGGAGAGAGAGACAGAGAGAGAGACAGACAGACAGACAGAGAGAGAGAGAGAGAGAGAGAGAGAGAGAGAGAGAGAGAGGGAGAGAGAGCGAGAGAAGGAGAGAGAGCGAGAGAGAGGGAGAGAAGGAGAGAGAGACAGAGAGTGAGAGAGAGAAGGAGAGAGAGACAGAGAGAGAGACAGACAGAGAGAGAGAGAGAGACAGAGAGAGAGACAGACAGGTGGCGGCAGATGCGCCGTGCTATTGTTTCAATAATGCCGCCCAATCCATCTAGGCGGGAGAATCGCACAGCTCGCCATACAACCATTTCTTTTCTCATCTGCCTCATTCATTCCAGCTTAACCTTAAAAACTGCGTCCTATTTGGTGTTCTTCATTTCCATCCCACCTACTCTCTT